AGCTGAATCAATGCTTGTGTCGAATGATTAATCAATCACAACCTCAGAAGAACTCTATAAAGAATTGCTATTGTAGAGGTGTGCTAGGGTTACAATACGATCAAAAGAATAAAACTGTCAAAAGCGTACATACTAAGGTGCATGCATGCACTACATATAGTAAACCCTAATAAATGAAACACGGCTGGACAGGCCCAATACCGTGAAGACAATGGACTTAGACCAAAAGCCCAATGACGCAACACTTCTAAACCCAACACCGTGAAACCAAACCGATGCCCGATTTGGTCGGTTTTCATGGTTTCAAACCGAACCTTGTAAGGCAATAAAGACTTAACACTTTGAGAATTCAAAAACCAATCCCAAACACCCCCTGGACATCTCGTTGGCGGCTCCCTTCCGGGTTTCTTTGATAAAAGTGAAAACCCTGAACAACAAGATTATCTCAGTGCAAACCTAAAGAAAAATGGGCATCCCAGGTTTGTACCGGTGGCTAGTCGACAGATACCCTAGTACACTTTGTTGCGTTGCCGAAGAGCGTTCACGCTTCGTTCATGGCCCAAAAATCGACAACAGTACACTATTACACTTAATCCAAACAGCGTCGAATTCGATAACATTTACATCGATATGAATGGAGTTATCTATCCTTGTTTTCATCCTGAAGGCCTGGTACGTACCCATTCTCATCTCACGCAAATACATACATACCCCCTCATCTAACAAGAGTACTCCCTGACTCCAAGATATTTTTCTCTTGCGTTAGTTTTCAACATCGTCATTGATAAAAAAAAAAATTGGTTTCGTCCAGGAGGAAGTTTCACAATTGTTGTAATCTTTAAAAACATGATGAAAGAAACATTTTGAAACTAAAAGGACTCAGAACGTCTATAAACTGATTACTATAATGTTGACTTATAGTTTGTTATATTTTGAAATTTTTATGGAAGAGATTAATATCCGTATCAATCCTAAGCTCGACAATTTTGTTTGTCCCCTTTCTTTTTCCAACTAGAGGTAGCATGTTCCATACTATGGATAATTGTATTGTTCTGATATTTTCTCGTTTTAATGAATGTGTTGCACAGCCTACCCCTCACATATGATGTTGTGCTCGGGCCTATCTTCAGTTACATTGAAAGGGTCTTCTCAATTGTCAGGCCCCGGAAAGTTCTATTTCTTGCAATTGGTTAGTGATTTATTTTGTCGCTTGTATATAAGAAAACGAAGTTATTATGTTCAAGTAGCTGACATTTATAGCTATAAGGTTGTGTAAAAGTCCTATCCTTTGGTCCATCCCACTAGCATGTGTGAGGAAAAAGTGTGTCATATTAACACCAGCAGGGTAATGTATATCCTAAAAGATAGATGGTATTTGTGGATTTCTCTATGAGATCATGTACAACTGGAAAACAAACAAAAGAACATTAGAAAATAGGTTATTTAAATAGTTGTCCACTTCTTTATGTCTTCTATTTCTTGGAGTATTTATTTATGTAAAGTGTAAAGTAATAATATCACCAGCTTCTTTATTTATTTTTTCTTGGGCATGCCTTTGGAATAACTTGTTTCTAGCTTGAATTAAAGGGCCATTTTCACCATATGTTGCTTTTATTTTCCTCCAGATCATTCTTTTTTGCATTCAAATAAGTGACATTTTATAAAGAAGTTTAATTGTTCATCTTTACAATGTTGAGGAACTTGATGCAGATGGTGTTGCACCACGGGCCAAGATGAATCATCAACGGATATGGCAGCTTGTGAAGTGAGTTTTTTAGCTTTTGATTTTTTTAAAAGCACCCTTCATAAGTTATAGTTTACAGTTTTTCTAAATACCCGACCCAACTGTCTTCAGATTTATGCAGTAGAGGTGGAAGGTGATATGAAACTGGATTCAATGTGATTACACCTGGAACCGAGTTTATTGATTTATTGTCTTCTGCTCTTGAATATTATGTGCACTTGATAATGAATTCAGACGTTGAATGGGGAAAAATCAAGATAAATGATTTTGTGTATCGCTATATCATTATTCTTGTTGATGGACATGGCTCTTTTGTCCTCCTTGCTGATAGGTGGTTCTTTCCGACTCCACTATGGTTGGTGAGGGGGAGCACAATAACTTGTCTTATACCCAGTCTCAAAGAAATTTGCCTAGATATGATCCAAATACGATCGGTAATGGACTTTTGGTTTGTAAATTCTATTTTGATTCTTTCTAAACCATGTCTATTGTCTCAATGTTGTACGGGGTGAGCATTTGGACCGGACCGAACCAGATCAGACCGGCTCTTGGACCGGACCGATTTCGGAGAATATTGTGGACCGTGGACCGTACCAGATGAGACTTACCGGGTCCAGGTCCATGTTCGGGTCTAGGTCCGGGTTTTTCGGTTCTTGGACCCATTTGGACTGGTACAACTTTATATGCATACGGTACAACTTGTTAAAACGTGTTTTTGGGTTTGATACGACTCGTTAAAACGAATATGTTGTTGGGTTTGATACGTTACAACTCGTTAAAATGAATATTTTTTTGGGTTTGATACGGTACAACTCGTAAAAATAAATACGTTTTTGTTTATTGTGCCCTGTGGACCAGTCAAACTTTGATTATTTATACTTTATATTATTTGTTTGAAAGATTGTAACTCGTTAAATATAACACCAAAAACAACAAAATTATAGTCTTAAATCATCTAGAAACTCTAAATTACACGTTGGAAAAAAGTGCATGTCAATCCGACTTAAAACGAATGAGATATATGCTTGTTTAAAGAATTTTACAGATTACAAAAGTTTAAATTTCTTGCTGAAAAGTTGAAATATTTCAGCTTTAATATCGCATCTTTGAAGGATTATAACTCATTGAATATAACACCAAAATCAACAAAACTGTAGTCTAAAATCATCTACAAACTCTAAATTATATGTTGGAAAAAATCGCATGTCAATCGGACTTAAAACGAATGAGATATGTTTGTTTTAAGAATTTCACAGAATACAAAACTTTAAATTTCTTGCTAAAAAGCTGCAATATTTCAGTTTTTGATATCTCATCTTTGAAGCATTGTAACTCTACGAATATAATACCAAAAACAACAAAATTATTGTCTAAAATCATCTACAAACCCTAAATTACATGTTAGAAAAAAAAACGCATGTTAATCCGACTTAAAACGAATGAGTTATGCTTGTTTAAAGAATTCACAGAATACAAAAGTTTAAATTTCTTGCTGAAAATCTTAAATATTTCAGCTTTGATATCTCATCTTTGAATGATTGTAACTCATCAAATATAACACCAAAAACAACAAAATTAGTGTGTAAAATCATCTACAAACTCTAAATTACACTTTGGAAAAAATCGCATTTTAATCCGACTTAAAACGAATGAGATATGTTTGTTTAAAGAATTTTACAAAATACAATTTTTTAAAAATATAAGCCGGTCCAAAACTGGTTTTTACCAGGAACCGGCCGGACGAGACCGGTTTTGCTGAAATACTAGAACTGAGAACCGGCCCGGGGGTCCAAACAAACGGTCTGGTCCGGTTCACCGGTCCGGTCCACATGTCCAAATGCTCACCCCTATAATGTTGTTTAGGATGCAGACTTGATCATGCTTGCAACGACAACCTATGAAATCCACGTTTCAATCCTGAGAGAGGTCCGTCTAACGTCTAACGTCTAATGTCTAATGTCTAATGTCTATTTAGGATCGGGACTAAATAATGGTTTCTTTAGTCTTACTCTTAGTATATAATGGACTCACATTTTAATTTTGAGATTGTTTAGTTATAATTTTAAAATGAAAATTTTAGTTGAAATTTAAGCCGTTACATACTGTAATAAGTTTTGGGGTATACTTGTCACATTTAATACTATCATGTAAAATATTCTTTTTACCATTGCTATTCTAACGATAAAATTGCACCTTTACCATTAACATTGATCTATCTTTCATCGCCTAGTCGAACATTAGATTTGTGCCACTAGTCCAATTCCTCAAACATTTGACATAAACTCAACATGTGATTTGAGCACCCATTATCAACGAACCAAACATCCTCATGGAAGAATTATCTTTAACATGTCCCATGAACAACATTTCAAACTCATATTTTTCTGCAAAATTCACTTAATTTCGCTTGTCATTTTTCTTCTTTAATTTATGACAGGTTTTTGTAAAAGAATTAAGTTGAGCTTTTTTTACTGGGTCGTTACTCAGAAGAATGACCACAACCTTTGCCTCTACCTATGAAGCTACCTTTTTCGTGTCATCTACCACTAGAACTTTCTCCTTTTACCTTGAATTTGGAAAGCTTTTTCCTTGTCTTGTTATTTAGATCTATTCAACTGTTCCTCATGAGCTTGCAAGGAACATATTAGTTCATCAAAAGTATAGTTAGACCTATCATGGGCTTCCTCAATTATAGTAACTACCGGATAAAATTTAGAAATAAGACTTATGAAATTTTTTTGAAACAACCGTTTGTTATTCCCTCTCTATATGATTTCATCTTGGTTACAATTTCACTTTCTCTAGATAGATAATCTTTTGCATATTGATTATTTTGCATGCTCAAAGTTTCTCTAGATAGATAGTCTAATGTTTCACAACGATTAACTTTTTGGAGACTTTAAACTCAGTCTTGAGAGTATGCTATGCCTCCTTTATTGTTTTGGCTTAAACGGAGAAAAGGTAGTCATGAACCATTTAATTGAAGAAATAAGAGAGATTTTGCATCTTTCTTTTTGTTTTCCTTCAACTTAATTGTATTGATCTCTATCTGGATCAACAAAGCTCTTTCAACTTGTATCCATCTCAAATTCAATAACCTTTTTGGGTAGTTTTAGGAGAAATGAATAAAATATGATTATACTTTTTAAACTCAAATTATCAGAAGAAGCTTAGGATCATACAAAATTGAGCGTTCCTAAATCTAATAGTTCAAACGAAGCTATAATTACTACCAAATAGAAAAGAGCGGTTCGATTCAAGTGTTGAAGCCCATACAGTTGCCAAATGGTGTCCAGAAGCCCACATCATCCCCTTCCTCCTTTTGATCTAGAGGATTTGTTGGATTTGAGAATCTTGCCTTATCGCTAAGCTCTTGAAAAGAGTTGAGGAGATTCTGAAGCCTTGCAACAAACTCGATCAAGGAAGATGTGAAATTGGCCAAAGACAAAGCACTTGCACTCTCGTAAGTCCTAACCTCACGTTCATTAAGAACGGCGTCCCCAAGAACCGAGAGGCGTGAAGGCCACTGTAACTGCTGTTTGAGTGCCTCTTCATCACAGGAACCCCAGTTTGCAAATGAAGGAAGATTCATGGACATATTTGTGATATGGCGGTCGATGTTTTTGAAGGTATGAGAATGTTTCAAATGGGGGGCTTGTTGGGCTTCGGTGGAGGTCTCTTCCTCGGTCTCCTCTTGATCAGGATCTTCCAATTCTTTGTGTCTTTGTCTAGCAGCTGCACTCACAAGATGGTATGATTTTTCATCTATCAACATTTGCAACTCCTCTGCGGCCTCGTGCACCTTCTCAAGTAGGTCAAAATTTGGGCTTAATTTTTCCAGCTTCTCCAACTTGTTTCCCAACTCCCTTAGTACTTTGGCACCTTCACTCCCTACCCTCTGAATCTCGTTTCTGAACATCATCCTCAGTTCAGCTGCTGCCTATAAAGAAATCAAAATAGAATCTCATAAATCCCATCAATGATGTTGTTGCTTAAGTCTTAAATCAAATCAAATGTATACGTACGTACCTGTATTTCTGAAAGTATGCACCCATGCATTGCCATAACCATAAAAGCACAGTGCCTTAATGCACCGCCAACTTTCACAAATTGACCCCATGGATATCTCAACATTTTATAACGCCCATGGGGCGGTTCCCAAATCGCAAAGCCCAACTGCATGTATATATAATCTTGTTGGATGCCTAGCTATATATGTATATATAAATTATACATAACACCAATCGAAAAGGCTAAAATTAGAAAGAAAAAAGAAAAGTAATACCAGAGCATCTTCTTGACTTGTAGACTGTACTGCTGCTCTATATCCCGTATAGAGAGGGTCATCAGTCGCCTGGTATACAAGAATTTTCGAAGGTATCCTATCATATTCCACGTTTTGCAGGTAACTTCTAACACATTCTGTTGTATTCCACAAAAAAGGATGCGTGGTTCAATATCCATACTGACACTATATTGCTTGTTGTTAATAATATTAGTATATGAATTAATACATGCACTTGTTACCTTCCAAGGAAGTAGCAACACCCCTAAAATTCTTCACCACCAATTTGTGCAGCTCTTCTCCAGACCAGACTGGATAAATACATATGTTAACTATAAAACATATGCCTGCTCCGACTATAACCAATAACAATCGAGAAACGGCTGTTCTAAAGAAGTGGGAAGTCCCCGACACCAGTACTATTGAAAATGTCAACATGAACACCCTGAAACCATATTCGTAGGGCTTCATTGATGGATAGAGTTTGATATAGGTTGACACAGAACCTAGATAAATACAAAAACAAAAAATATATTTATATATAAATCTAGCACATAATATAATATAATATATATA